ATTATTATCATCATAATTATTATTATTATCGGTATTAATTCTACTATTATTAATTCTTTGTTGGAATTTCCGGCTTCGAAACTGTTGCAACTTGCCGGGGGTTTTTCCAGAAATTTCGATGAACCACGTGAGAGGGTCTAAAAATAGACAAATGAAAGAATGAACGAACGAACGAAACTTTTATCAAAATCTTTATCATCACCATCATAATCAAAGTCATAATCAACACAATTGCTATCATCGTTGTCACCATCACCATCATCATCATCATCATCATATACTCACATTTATTAGAGGGTTTACTCTTCATACTATTTGACACCAGAGATGACGTCACCAATGATGACGACGACGATAATGATAACAATAATGGCGATGATGATTGCTGACGCAACGTAATCGGTGATGGTGATGATGATGGTTGTGATGATGATGATGACGAGGGGGGCGATGCTGATAACGATAGATTCTCTGGAGTGTATAAACCTCTGTTGGATTCTTTCGCTATTGCAGTAAAAAATTTGTTCATGCTATATCGATGTTGATGTTGTTGATGATGATGTTGTTGTTGATGATGATGATGATGTTGTTTTTGTTGATGTTGTTGTTTCTGTTGTTGTTGTTGATGATGTTGTTTTATATCTCCAAGAAACGTCTTCACATGGCTTAACAGTTTTTTTTCAGTATCATCATCACGATCATTACATTTATTATTATTACTATTATTATTATTATAGTTATTATTACTATAGATGTTATTATTCTTATTATTAATACAATTATTATCTCCACAAGTCCTGCTAATATATCTTTGGTATCTTTCGAAAAATTTCGAAATGAATTCATTGCTCTGGGGAATTTCGATACCCCTGCTACTAAAAATAACCGACTCCCCGCTATTTATAGACCTTCGGCCATCGTCGTCATCATCATTATCACCAAGATTTTTAATGATATCATTATCATGAACAAGCGTATCATCACCATCACCATCGGCACTGTTAAAGTGATATATATTTAGTATTTCATCATTATTATAATCATTATCCTCATTACAATAATTAATGACGTCATTATTATAATTAATGACGTCGTTATTATAATTAATAACGTCATTATTATTATTATTATTATTATTATTATTATTATTATTATTATTATTACCATTATGGATGTTGTTACTATTGGATTTAGGGTTGTTGTTAAAATTTTTAGCGTCATATATGGACATTATATCTGCTAGCTTGCTGAAGATGTTCAAGACGTGTGGTGTTGTTATTGTTGCCGTTGTTGTTTTTAATGTTGTTGTTACTACTGATGTTGCCGATTTTGGGATCTCAACAGTTAAGAGATGTTGTTGTTGTCGATGATGACGTTGTTGTTGTTGCTCATGACGTAGTAGTTGTTGTTGTTGGTGAAGTATTTGTTGTTGTTGTTGGTGAAGTATTTGTTGTTGTAGTTGTTGATATTGCTGTTGCGAATGTTGATGGTGTTGATGATGATAATTGCCTAGATCAATTTCCCGACAATGATATTGTTGCAGTTGTTGCTGCTGCTGATTTTGTTGTTGTTGTTAGTGCAAGTGGATTGTCGAGATCATTATCGGGAACATCTTTCATGACGATTTTATCTTTCCACTTTTTGTAAGCTGTATCGTCAATGAACTTAGCTCTGTTGATGGTCAGCAAGTCATTAAGAGTTGCTGATGCTGATGACGACGATGGTGATAATAATGATGTTATATTTGGTATTGATATAACTGTTGCTGTTGTCTTTACCAAGTTATCTTTTAATGATGATGATGTTGATATAGTAGATGATGATAGTAATGATGTTATTGATGATGATGGTAATGATGTTATTGTTGATGATGGTAATGATGTTATTGTTGATGATGGTAATGATGTTGTTGTTGATGATGATGATGGTAACGATGTTGTTGTTGGCGACGATGATGGTAACGATGTTGTTGGCGATGATAATAATATAGATGAAGATGCTGATGACGATACATTATTCCTCCCAACTCTTACGTACAGCAACTCATGCAGGCCTGCTACCCTAAATGAATAACAATCGTTCGTTCCGTGAAGTTCACTAACTCTCCACTTGCATTCTCAATTAACTGTCTATCTCCTTCCCACGTAACCTCAGACATCGCCATAAAACACAACACATGAACACAAAATTAGTTCTCATCATTAATGCTCCGGTAACATTTTGACTCTTATAGCAAATAATGTTGACTCTTTTTGACTTTTATAGCAAAATAATAAAAAAAAAACAATAATAAGACCACCAAAACAACCAGCAGCATAAAATAACTTGAGCAGTAGCACATCTCTTAACGCTTGCCTTTTCAATCAAAACTTTAAAATAATTCCTCGAGTTTTCATTAAAAATTGCAGGAAATTATTTTCAAAAATAACGTTAAGACAACGACATTCAGGTACAAACTCGACTGTAAAGTTACCTGTATGGTAGAAGCATATATGAGGTGCTGTCGTCTTCGTCGTCATCATTATCAGCCACAGTAGCAGCCACAGCAGCTCCACGACCATCACCACTACCACTATCATCATTATCATTGCTACCTTCTTTTTTATCATCACTATCATGATTTTCGATTTGGTTTTCAGTTCTATGGTCAGCCCCATCATGGATTTTTATGCGTAGAGAAACTTTTTTATTGTTTTTATTATCATCGTCATCATCATCACACTCACCATAGATATTACAAACATCATCATCATCACCACCATCATCATCAGCATTATCAGTATTAGTAACAATGTTGTTTTTATTAATGTCTTCATGTATCATTCTCCTATTATTAATATTGCCATTATTCAAATTTTTAACTGAGCTTTCAAACCTTAAACGTTCCATATTTTGACCGATGATTCTGACGTCATCATAACCACCATCATCATCGTCATTACCATTACGATGGTTATTAATCGTATCATCATCATCATCATCATCATCATCATCATGATGGCCATTATTATCAGCACTACTTCTATTAACTTTACAAGAATTTTTATAACCATAATTTTTAGTAGTAATATAATTTCCATCACTATTTCCGTCACCATTCTCTTTACCATCATCATCACCGCCAACAACACCACCATTATCATCATCATCACAATCACCGTAGCCATCATTATCATCACCGAAATCATCATCATCGTCGTTATAAGGTTTCAGAGGCTTGAATTTGAAAGTTTTAAATATGTCCTCGACTGTAATGGAGGTACTATTCCATGATAATGATGAGGTTAAATTGTTGTTGTTGTTGTTTTTATTATTATTTTTATTGATAGTAGTAGTAGTAGTAGTAGTAGTAGCAGTAGTAGTAGTAGTAGTAGTAGCAGTAACTTTGCTAATGTTAGTTGTAGCACAAGTATTAGCAGTAAAAACATTATTAGTAGCAGTAGTAAAAATTGGATTATTATTATTATCGAGATAAGTAGTAGTAATATTAGAAAGATTAGTAGTTGCAGCAACAGTAGTAGCAGTAGTAACAGTAGTAGTAGTAGTAGTAGTAGTAGTAGTAGTAGTAGTAGTAGTAGTATTGTAACGTAATTTTGGTAAAAAAAATTCATCAACATTAATTACATTGTAATGATGTGATGTTGGTGAGATTGATAACATGACTGAGGTTGTTGTTGTTGTTGATAATGATGTTGTTGTTGTGGCTGGTAATAGTAATGATGCTGCTGTTGGTAATGATGATGATGATGATTTGTTTCCACTCAGCCTTTCAAAGATTTCTCTGATGTCTGCCTTTATTTTCTCCTTATCAATAGTCACATCCCCATCATCATTTTCATCATCATAATTGGAGATCTTTTTGTTATTATTATTATTATATTTAATAATATTATTATTATTATTATTACTTTTTTTATTACTATTATTGTTATTATTGTTGTTGTTCACCCTTTGCCCAAAACCAATAATGTTGAAGATCATTTCTGATTGGTTACTTGGATTACTGAACAAACGTCTTGATTGGCTGTTAGACCTCTTCAGGGAGGCAGAGTTATAATTACTTCCACCAATGGGTGTCGAGGTCCACGGTGGGGTCTTGCCTAATCTTGTAAGCAGCGAGGTGTTTGTAGATATTGTCGAGATGTCGTCTATTTCCTCTTTTGTCACATCTCTTCTGACTGTGATGTTGCTTGAATTAATAGTAGTGGTAGTAGTAATGGTGGGGATTTGAAAATAATTAGTGACGGTGGGATTGCACAAATTATCCGTGCTCTGACGAGGTTTTAAATCAAACCAGTCTGAGTTGGGAAAATTTTTAAACGGGTTTGGGTCCATGATGACAATGATTCATGAGCACAACCAGCTAAATTAATGAATAAAATAGTTAAAATAATTATTTCATCATTAAAAAAACTAAAATTTGAAATTTAAAATGACGAACTCACCAATAATAGTTTGATTGAATTATTAAATTAAATTTTTAAATTTTAATTCTTTTCAGTTTTCAGTCATTCAGGTGGTTATTTTCTACTTTTATTCTTTAAATAACAAATTTTAAGTGAAATATTCAAATTGCAAAGTGTCAAGAACTTAGATTGTAACAAGTAAAAATTAAACTAATTGGCCGTCAGTTACGTTTACAATTAGTTTTTTTGCACGGAAATCATGTTCGAACACATTTTTTTCAAATTTAATGTATGTATACAAAGAACATGCCAAACAAAGGCAACTTATTTAAAATAAATCCACTTTTAGCATTTCATCTCAGTTAACTTTTAAAATTTGAAAGTGGTTTTTTTTATTCTAGTTATGTAGTTTTTTCGTGTTTAAAATTAGCACTTATCCGAACTAATTGAGCGAAATTTTACATAAAAAGTGAAAAAATGGCGATGATGACAGAAGAACATAAGAGACTTTTAAAAGTTAATCATTTCAATATTCTGGAACGGATCGTTGATGTTGACGCTGTCCTGGACCACCTCTTCCAAATGGAAATCATTTCCAAAGATACCTTGGAAAAGATTAACGTAAGATTTAAGAATTATAGAGATTAATAATAAATAAATGAATGAATAAAGACTTTTTTTTAAATAATTTTCAATGTTATGTATGTTGTGCTTTTTTTTACTCATTAATAATTTTCACGTTTTTTAAAGTTGTAATCAATTTATGAATAAATTAAAAATTAGTTAATTAATCAAGTTAGATAACAAATACACATTTTTTTATTTTCAATTTAATTTACAATTTTTCTCCAAAAAATGTAATGAAAAAAACAGTTGAAACAGACAATCAAAGACAAAGCTCGAGCACTTATGTTACAATTGGCGAGATTGAGTGAGGAAGCATACCATGCATTCTTATTGGCTCTCCTGCGGACCAATCAGATCGAGCTTGCTAGACTATTTGACCCAAATTACGAAGGCCCCGATACTGTTGATAAAGATGCCAGTGAAATTTCATTGATAGGTTAGACTTGATGCTTAGATAGTAATGTCGATTTTGAGTCAGTTATGATTAATGGTTATCTTGAAATTTAATTTTTTCTTTAGAAACTTTCAAATTTGAAGATCTCCAAACAGAAATGATGTCAGACGCTGAAGTTTACATGCATATTAAGGATAAGGTAATGTGATCTTATGAGTATTAACAAGATAGTTATTGAGGATTTTGATTGACTGGTGTGACTTTGTGAATATTAAGGAGATGTTAATTAAAGATTCTGACTGGCTGATGTGAATTGATGTATATTAATGATATACAACTAGTGGTTCTGATTGGCTATGTGAATTGATGAATATTAATAAGATACATATTAAATCATAAACATCCTCATCAGAATAATCATAATCATTTCCACAATCATCCTCATCATAATAATCAACATAATCATCATCTTAATCATCGTCACCGTAGCGGAATTACAAGCTGCCCTTCTTGGAAAGAAACTCAGATATGATATATGGCAGGGTTCTCATCATAAACAATATCGAATTTGATATATTAGACAGAAGGACTGGTTTGTTTGTTGAATGATTGAATCGAATGAATGAATGAATCTAATGAGTAAATGAATGAATCTAATAAATGAATGAATGAATTTAATGAATGAATCTAATGAATGAATAATTGAGTAGCTGAACTGGTAGCTGAATAAATGAATGAATATATAAAAGAATAATAAATGAGTAATAAAGCTGAATAAACGAATGAGTAATTGAGTAACTGAATGATTGATTGAAATCTGGAACGAATGAATAAAGGAATAAACGACTGATTAAATGGTTGATTGATTGATAGGATCAGAAAATGACAGCCTGCTGTTAAAAAATTGTTTTGAACGTTTGAGATTCCTGGTTGAGTGTCATGAGAATAAAAGATGCGTTGTTAGTCATAGATTATTTTTTCATCATCATCACCATCGTCGTCATCGTCACCGTAAGAGTCTTTTTTCCTACTATTATCATCATCATCATCCAATCATCATCATCTTCTTCATCGTCATCAGTATCATTTTTTCCCATGATCATCACCATCATCTTCCGCGTCATCATCGTTCTCATCATCATCATCATCACTCTTCTATCGTCATCACTATCATCATCAACATCATCATCATCAGGAGATGGAAGGCATACTGAGAAAAGAGTGCGACAATTTCAACACATTTTCACAACAGCACAACAGCAATTTCACTTATAATAACAACACCAACAACAACATAAACAACGACAATGACGTCAACAACGACCAAAGCATTAGCCTAGACTACACGGATAGCAACGGTGACGTCATCAACATCGACAGCTATAGAAACACCTTCATCTTCATCCTCGTCATCATATCGCATGGGGCCAAAAATCATATATACGGCACGGACGGTTACGGCGATAAAAATTTAATCTCAATAGAAACAATTCAAGGAATTTTTTCTTCAACAAGTTGTCCGGCATTGGCTTATAAACCCAAGTTGTTTTTCATTCAAGCCTGTCAAAGAGGTGGGTTGGTTGATTGATTGGTTGGTCGATTGATTAGTTGATTGATTGATTGGTTGTATCAGTTGTATCGCTAATATAAAAAAATTTATCAATCTTCCAGCCTATTGTTCAACTCATCATTCATTTATTTAATTTATTAAATCATTAAACCAATTGGACAGTAAATCAATCAATCAACCAACTAACCAATCAGACAGCGTCAGACCCTCTTACCCAAGCCACGAGGCAACCAATAACGTTAATTGGAGAGCCCCAAAGTTAAACCCGGAAGTGAAAGTAGGGAATTCCAAAGATTATCTCCACCCCCTATCTGATATGTTTCTTATGATGTCAACAGTTCTTGGTGGGTTGGTTGATTACTTGATTGATAAATCACTCGACCAATCAATCTTTCATTTAGTCAATTAAACAATCAATCAATCAACTAACCGACTACTCAATCAACCAACCAGGTGACTTATCATGGCGTGATCCAGTCATGGGCTCGTATTTCATAAGAACCATCGTCTACATCATCACTACAAAATCCCATAATATGGATTTATCTGGAATGATGACTATGGTATGATACTATTATCATTGCTGGTTCAATCAATGCATCATTCCTACCCGTTAATTCATCTTGCATTCATTCATTCAGTCACCCATTCAGTCACCCATTCATTCACTCATTCATTCACAGGTCAAGCGCTTACTGTCCAACAAACCGATAGAAACTGACCAGGGCAAGGTCATCCAGCAGCCAGAAGTTCGAAGCACCCTCAACAAAGAACTCTGGTTCCTCTGCTAATTAGCCAATTTGCATAAATTATGTTAATGAGACCAAAAACTATCGTACGTTCGTGACGGGCATTGAGCTTTCTGCCGACAAATTTGCATATGCTTAGCCGAGTAGTTATCACGCACGTTTTTTTGATGAATAAATTATGTTAAGTATCTTTCATTAACTTAATTCTTATTTTGTATCCTTTTGAAATACCGGTTTCTCCGTATAAACTAACATTCGCATCATAAATTTAACATGAATTATCGTGAATTTGTATCAAATGCCACTCAAACATGTCCATTTGATTGCCATCAATTATAAATTGTGCTATTGAGTTTGTGGAAGTTGTTTTCCCACCAGTTCTACCAGTAAAAATAATAACGAATAAACGAAATTAACTAAATAAATAACAACAATAAGAATGGCAATGATAATGATATATATCGCCATCATCATAATTTTTTCCCGGGTTTAAATTGAATATTATTGAGCCCTTGGAAATGTCTCTTTAACTGCTGGTTGTCTGCCCAGTTACTATCGTAATACGAATCGTCTGTACACTCTTCTAGTTTCTTTAAGGAAAGATAATTTTAAGAGTTAGTTGTTAATCAATCAATCGAACCTGCCCAACCAATCAGTTAACCAATCGAGCCAGCCAGCCGACCGACCTTCATTTCTTCTTGCCTCCTATAATAGTATGCCATCATTTCCTTTTGTTCTTTCTCTGTTACAACTGGCTCTCTGGCTGGTACACCCTTGCTTTTCTGTTTATTACAATTTATTTAATTAATTAATATAATTATTAATAAATGTCAATTTTTATTATACCTATTATCATTATTAGTGGGCATTATTATTTAGATTGTGTAGTGGTTTTTTGATTGAATGAATGTATTTATGATATACTGAACGAAGGAATGAATGATTGATTGAACTAATGATTGATTGAATAAATAAATAAACGAATAAAGAAAGAATAAATAGATGAATTAGTCAATGTATCAGTCAATATTAACCTGTAATTTGACAATGAGTTTCGTTTTTTCATTGGTGCCGATGAAATCACTCAGAAGTTTGTTCCTCAGCAGTTCTTTACCAGCCCAGTAGAGTGTGGCTTTGTCTGGGTCCATGATGTCTAAAGATGCCTGTGTGTGTGTGTGTGAGTGCATGGTGAGAGATTTCTTTTCTCTCTTTCTCTCCCTCTCTCTCTTTCTCTCAAACAAAACCAACCTACACACCGACCTGAGTGCCACTGAGATCTTCCCTATCCTCAAGCTCCATCCTGACAGGGTCGTGCGGTGGCAGCCCCATCGGATACACAATCATTGTGGCCCCTTTCAGAATTTGAATGGCCTCTGAAACGTCTGGCTCCGTCAGGCATTCGTTGAAATCTACTTTTTTCTAAAATAGAGATTAATGAAAATAAAAATATTGATATGGGTTTAAATAAAATTGGTAGTAGTTGTAGCAAGAAAAAGTAATAATAGCGGCTATATTAAGTAGTAGTAGTAGTGTTAGTAGTAGTAGCAGTAGTAGTGGCTATACTAAGTAGTAGTAGCAGTAGTAGTAGTAATAGTAGTAGCAATTGCAGCAGTAGTAGTTAAAATTCTGCAGTTAAAATTTTTGAAAATTTGTGTTAACAATTAGGACATATAAAATCAAGAGTGTTCATAAAATTTTTGTTAACAAAATTTTTCAGTTAGTCAGTATCATATTATTAGAATTTTTAATAACTATTATTATCATTTTAAGAATTATTATCATAATAACTATAATTTTATATAGATATTATTGTTATAATTAAAAGAAAAATTTTATAGAAAAATGACTATTTTTACTTTGGATATCATATCCTTAGCTTCTTTGCTCGTTTTCTTTAAAATTTCAGACATCTGTTCGTTTGGGGCTTGTAATAAAATAATGAATATAAATAATAATTATAATAAAAAATAAATAATTTTTAATCATATATTTTCCATTAACTCATTTATTCATCCATTACCTTTTCCATTCCTCCTGCCTATATCATCTTTTCGATCAACTGGACCTCCACTTGGAATACTAATATTGGCCCATTCATCAACTAATTTCAACTCTTCAATCTGGTCATCAGTTAGGCCCTGCATATTAGGAGGTAATGAAATTCCGTGGTCAGCTAACTCTTCTACCTCTAATAAAAAACAATTTAATTTTCAAATTAAATTTTAATTTTTAAAAACTAACACAGGGAATCAATATATGAAAAATTAATTTTAAATTAAACATGGCATATAGATATAATAAATAATTAATAATTTAAACTAGATAGATGAAGAGTTAGAGTTAGTTAGGAAACCGACCCCCGCATATTCTGTGCACTTTGAGTCTTTTATTGTATATTTGAACAATTTCTCTGGTTAACTCATCGATGCTCACCGCCGTACTCGTCTCGAACAAAAACTGATTGTCGTCGCCTTTTTTTACTTGCAATTTCACCATTTTGATATTTTAAAATTTTAATAACTAAGTTACTTTTCAGCTTTTCATTGAAATTAAATAGATGATTATTTTAAATAATTTTTTATTATAATTGTTTATAATTTATATTTTTATTTAAATTTGCGAACTTAAATCAGTGAAAAACGCAAATCAACGACAAACTTAGCAACGAAAAAAGTTTAAACTTAATTATCGCCATTGGAAACATCGAAGTAGTTGCCAAAAACAATTAATCGTTTTTTTTCTTTTTTCCTATTTTTCTGAACCGTTTAAACAAAAAAGGATAGAAAAAAGTAAAACTCAACTAAAAAAAATTAAACGTACATATTTGACATTAAATGCATCACAAAATGGTCGAATTTGTATTATAAATTAACTCTAAAAGTAATAAAATGAAATTTTAAAAGCCCTGTTTTATCTGTTAGCACAGCTGTATAAGGCTTTTAAGCAAACATTTTCTTGAATTAAAGCCATTTTATGATATTTAGAGGTTATTTTTTTAATATTTTCTGACATTCACGTCATATTTTGAAGTATATTGTGCTTTAATATTATAGTGTGATTTGACATAATTAAGAATAATTGGATATACTATGATTTTTTATTGTATTAAATACCAATTTTCATAATTTAAGGCAATAATTTCAATCATTTTGAGTATAAAGTGTGGTACTTCATTGTACTTGTGGTACTTTGTTGGTATTTGTGGTATTTTTGGATCCTAAACGATTTTTTCAAGACATTTAGACGACAATTCAGAGACAAATCCATCAGGTTTTATTCGCTTCATGCATAAGATGATGTTTTATAGCAGCTGTATAATTTTTATGGATCCTGATTTTGGTTTCAAAATAAATTCTTCATTCGTTCGTTCGTTCGTTCCTTCATTAATTCATTCATGCATATATAGCCTACGTCAATTTTTTCACTCGTTCCTCCCTCCATTCATTCATACATTAATTCTTTCACTCATTGGTACAACTAATCCATCAATCAATTCATTCATTCAACAGTATTATGGTAGTAACACCAATAACACATGTGTAGTAGTAGTAGTAGCAGCAGCAGCAGCGGTAGTAGTAGTAACAGTATTAGTTATAGTAGTGGTAGTAAAAATAGTAGTTGTTATCTACCTACCAGTGGCGTTCCTAGGGCCTTTGAGGCCCGGGGCGGAAATATTTGTGATGCCTTTCATAAATAAATATGTATTACATATACATAGATATTATATGGTGGATGTAATGATTATCTGCTTGGTCGTTGAAGTCAGTGTCATCGAGTTCGAAAGCATACCATGCTGTTCATCCCAAAGACCATCATATGGTCGCTTATTTGATGCAATGGCAAAAAGAAATGGTAACATATGTCTATACCTCTGCCAAGAAATTCATCGACAAAAACTAACCACAGTCCATATTTTGTGGAAATTGATGTCCAGAAAAGGATAAGGCACTTATTCTTTTTTTCATTTTTAAATTGGCTGATGATGCAGAAAATAAATGAAAAATGTTTTTATATTTTATGTTTTACAAAAATGCAATATACATAGATACAAAACATTTACACATGTCAGTACACATATGGCACAAAATTTTGATTCAGCTAATCGAAAAATATATTAAAACTGTTTTTTACGAGATTTTGCATCAGAAAATATTTGTATTGTTTCATCAAAGTTAATATTTCTCGCCACTGTGTTTTCAATTGATAGGATTGCTAAGCCATTAAGTCTTGCTTGACTCATTCAACTCATTTTAATCAGCTTCAATTTTGAAAAGCTTCTTTCGCAAGAAGAAATTGAAACGCACACTGTCAAAAAATCTTTAAAGCTAAATATAAGTTTGGAACTGACTCGTGTAAATCAATTTCTATTATATAGGTTAACATTTTCAGTGCAGACCATTTTTTAACATCATCTTTCTCAATTTTCCCTGCTTGAAGATGACGTCTTAATCGTTTAATTTCGGGTATCATTTCATTTTCTTCTAGTTCATCAAACGTTTCTGTCAGATTTGGTATCAGCTTTGAAAGTTCTTCTATCTCCATTCCAATAAGATGTGATGATTGAATGGCTGCAAATTTTACATATACATTTTGCATTGATTCTATCCTTTTTCTAAGATCTTGATAAAAATTATCAAGTGACTGAAACATTGATCGTCTCAATTCCTGTTTCAACGTTAAAGCTTATCTTTACTTTCTTCTCCAGGCATAAGCTTTCTTTGACTTTTTCGACCCAATTTTTCTGTAGCTATTCCCATTTCTTCACAAATTTTTGTAGAAAATATCAATGCATTTTCAACCAATTCATCGCGACTCTCATGCAGAAAAAGTTTTAAGGTATCTAATTTTTCAATGGTTTTATCTAAACCAATTCCTTCTGTTTGCAAGTATTTTTGAGTATGATTGACTTCCTCAAGAGTACTGCTCCAGAAATGAAGATAAGCAAGAAATTTGAAACCTTGAATATTTTTCATTAAAATTTGAGCTGAACCTCTCGTATCTACATTTTCTAATGGATCACATAATTTTTCTAAAGCCTGTACCAACTTGCTGAAATGATTCATTACAGGTTTCACCGCATGATATTGCTCACTCCACCTGGTTCCTGCTAGCCTTTTTGCAGTGATCCCGACTATTTCTGACAATATATCCCATCAATGAGTTGATGAAGAAAAGAAGTTGTAAATGCTTTCAATTGTTCCAAAAAACGTTACACAAGTTGGATTGCTTCCAAATGCGTGAACCCCGCTCAAGTTAAGTGAATGATTAGAACAAGGTACAAATAAAATTTTCTGATTTATTTGATGGATCCTGGCTTGTACCCCAGAATGAACACCTGACATTACCGAAGCATTGTCATAACCTTGGCTTCGACATAGGTTTATGTCCAAACCATCTTCATCAATAATATTTACAATTCTTTGTGTGATATCAAAAGCCTTCTTTCTGGCAAGACGAAAAAATCCTAAAAATGATTCTCTTACCTCTACATTTTTGTTTTTTATATGAACATATCTAATAATCTCACTTAATTGGTCTTGGTGAGATATATCAGGTGTTGAATCAAACATTATCCCGTAATACTTTGCTTGCTTTACATCATCAATAATTTTCTGTTTCACAGTATTCTGAATTTTAGGGGAAAGATATGAAATCGTGTTACCTGCCTTGCTATGTTGGACCCTCACTAAATGTTCTTTTAAGACAGGGTCGTAGTGTGAAATTAATTCAACTAACTCTAAGAAATTGCCTTTGTTGTTAGAAAAGTCATCTTCTCTGTGGCCTCGAAAAGGTAAATTTTGTTTTGCTAAAAATATGGTGACATCCAATAAGCGGTGTAAAATGTCATTCCATTTTTTATTTTCCAGTTCTCGATTTTCTTGATGAACGGCATCAATGGTTTTATTAAGATTCAAACTTAGTTCTAATGTTTTCCATTTTTCATGATTGTTTAAGTGAATTTCAGAATTTTCGTGATGTGAAATCTTAGCGTTTAGTTTCCACCAATTATTAAACCCTGTAACAAATTTTGAAAAATTATTACTTTCTTTATCACAAGCAGCAAAAAGTCGACAACAAAAACAAAATAAACATTTTTTGGAAGGAGAATAAACCATCCACTTTCTGAGAACTTTTTCACCATTTGGAAGATGCTTGTAGAACCAATGCTTTGTCAACTGTCGAGTTTGACCCTTTGTTTGCTTCCCTACTCTTTGAACCACTCTAAATGGACCATTTTTGTTCTGGAAATATTCACTCTTTAGTTTTACTATACTGATTCTGATGTTATCTGATAACGGAATTGTCCAATTTCCCACATCACAATTTAAAAAAATATCATTTTCACAAGAAAAATTGATTTCATCCTCGCATTGATGGTTTGACGTTTCAGTTTCGGTGGTTGTTTTTCCTTGGTCAGATTCTACGGTTGTATCTAAATCAGTCTGCTGACTTGATGAACTAGCAATAATGGATTCTGGTTTGGCAACTTGGTTAACAAATTTA